TGTCGCAATCCATCAATATGTATAATAAAAATTTGTAGTGAACCCCAAAAAACTACCCTACAGTATAAACAAAAGAATAGGAAAGAAAACATAAAAAACAAGAAAGGTTTAGCAAACTCCTATTTCCAAATTGCATAGTTTCCGCCTTATAAAAGGACATGGTAAATGAAAACCTAAAGCATTTGAAGATCTTTCCCGTAACTAAGTTTTATTTAATTCAATCCATATCATCACCTAAACGAGCACTATAGTGTTTTAAGCGTTAATTATACTCAAACCAACCTTTGTTAAAGTACTTCATGAAGACCAGGCACGGGCATGGGTTTTCAGATGTAATAATACAAACCTGGGTTCATACTTCAACCGAGATTTGACAAATGAAAGGACAAAATGCAATTGACCAACAATGGATAAGAGAAAAGCATCGAGGCATTACCATCAAAAGATTGAGGCCGAGAATACATTACATTACTCTGGCAAGCATACAGCCTATAAGATGGCTCAGAAGCACTCAAATGATTGACAGGCCTCCTTATATCAAGCATCAACATGTCAATCAAGATTTTCACCAGAGCAGTTCTGGTTTCATTATGTGCACATAAATTCAAGAGAAGCCTCTGCAGCTGACCTTTATAAAGTGGCTGCATAGATAATGTCAATCAATATAAAGATCACAAACGATATATGTGAGGAAGAATATATCATACCAAATGAATACCTGAACAACACGAAACAGCCGAACCATGGCTCTCAGAGCTTCTGTGTCAACTAGAGGAGCTCCTTCAGCTTCAACTGGCTTACTTCCCATAGACCTACGAGCAATGATTCCACCAGCTCTATCCAGACTAGATCCAATACCTTCACCTCGTCGAGAAGATTCACCCATACAGTTTCTAGGGTACATTCCAAAGAGTGTTCGATTATAATGATTTGCAAATCTTTCACGCAACATAGACGCCTCCGTAACAAGAGCTGGTGTGAGATTGGCAAGGATATCATGAGAGGATGTCAAGAGAACCTACAAAAAGGCAAATATCAAGTAAAAAGCCAGATATTAAGAAAGATGAGAATAACTCTTCAATAGTCAACAAACCTCTTCTCGTAATTCTGAAGGAAAAGGCGCAATTATTGAGACAGTGTCCATTTCTACAGGTTGACCTTCCAGTTCCTGTGATTGATGTAATCTTTGTGCTTCTTGTTGCGCAAGGACTTCTTCACGAATGTCAGGCGGAAGGGCTGCAAGAAATTCTGGATCTATCTCCCCAGAATTTTGAGGTTCAGCATTTGAAGGCTGCGCCACTTGACCCTGTTGAGCAGAAAGAACTTCGGCACGCAGCTCCTCAGGGAGTGCATCAAGGAACGTTGGGTCAATTGAAGCAGAATCAGCATCACCATTCACCTGCTGCTCCTCTAATTGACCACCCTGATCGGGTACTTGGCTAGGATCTTCTGAAACTTCTGTTACGCTATGAAGTGATGCATCTCTCCCACTTACTGGAGTAGAATTCGCAAAAGACACATTTGTTCTCCTTGTTCGAGTATCAGCAGAACCTTGCCTTTCTCCACCATCATCGTGGCCATCAGCACTTCCAATTTCAACATCCAGACTCCGAAGGCTCTCCCCCAATGTTGCTCCACTTCCATTACTTTCTTGGCTCACTGCCTCAACATCATGCACAACAGCATCATTGTGTTCAAACTGCATTTCAACAGATTGAGAGAGTGTACTTGCTAAATCTGTTCCTTGTAGAGATTCATTTATTGTAGGCCTTGTATCAGCATTGCCCGAACTATCCATTGCTATAGAAGAAGGCAGAGGCACATAATTGTTTTCACTGTTGCCATTATTCTCGGCAGGATTTTCAGAGGTTATCCCTGCAGATTCTTGTAATGGACTCACCTCACCTTTACTTTGAGTTTCCAAGGGTATCGTATTCTGATCAGACGGTTTCTCTGGGACTGGCCGTCTCAAATGGTAAACAAGCAGATCTTCAAGCCCTTGGGGAACTGCAGATGCATTTGATCCACCAGTTTGCTGGGTATCATCTGTCCACAGGTTGAAACGGTGTCCCTGACGACCATTCCTCAGTGACCGGAAAATAACATCCAGACGTGAGGAGTTGTTCTCTGAGTTCCTATCAGAATGGCCGACATCACGCTCTGAAGAAAACAAAATACAAAAGGTAGAGCAAAAGGTTTGGATGTTAGAATCTGCACAACAAGGTCTTTCTGGTCAGGATCATAAGAACAGATTATATACAACCAAAAAAACACTGAGTCAAATCAGAAGTTACAGAATGAAAACTTCAAATACATAAAAAAAAAAAAAAAAAAAAAAAAAAAAAAAAAAAGGGAATTTACCAACCACCGGGTAGAGTTACCTGATTGCCTGAGAGGAGCTGTCTGTAGTGATGAAGAAGGCTCCACCAAGAGTGGATGCTGCGACGGAGCGGTATTGTCACCAGTTCTCCCCAATAGATTGTAAATGGATGTAGTACGCCCTTGGCGTCTAGAGCCAAAAACTTCAACGGGCATCACGTGGAGAGTATCATTGGCAAAACTATAATCTCTACCAAAAACCTCAATATGATCTAAAACATTTATCCCATTGATTCCCTCCTCCAGCCTAAGTATAACTCCTTCCTCTTCATCATCGTCATCATCTTCATCCTCTTCCTCCATCACCTCCTCATCAAATTCATCCTCATCAAGCTCATGGTCATCCTGATCTGTGTCAGGATCTGGCAGGTGATGCACTTCATCTTCTTCAAGATCATTATGTTCCTCATCATCCTCTTCATCTTCATCTACATCATCCCCTGACATCTCGTCGTCGTCGTCGTCGTCATCGTCAAGATTCTCTTGGTCACGTGACTGGATTTCAAATCTAATCCCCACAGTATCAAGGATATTTTCAACACCCCTGGTGTCCTCGGGAGTTTCATGCATGTAGTCATCTTCATTTGCAGGATCAAAGCCTCCATCAAGATCTTGGTCATGTTCCATATCATCAGTAACAGCCTCAGATCCACCGTAGTTCTGGACAGTGTCAAAAGACTCAATGTGGTCAGCTGCTGCAGAACTCTGATTATGTTGAGAAGTTTCCATAGACTCGGATATATTGCCACCATTATCTGTTCCACCAAGTTGACTCTGATCAGGAGGTTTTGTTGCATTTTCAACCTTGCCAGTATTACAATCAGCTGCATGGATGTGTTCCTTGGTTACTATCTCAAGAACTTTGACAAGTCCTGTAACAACTTTCGGAGATTCAGGATGATCCAGGTCTAACACTTGGAGAGTACGAGTTAATGACCTCACCAGACCAACATCTATACAAGTAGCAGAAGCTTCAGCCGAAATGTATGAACCTGTGGGTGTACGAGCAGCAACTACATCGTTGATCAGATCAATTAAAGCTGGGATATCACTTCCTGGAGGCCTAAAACCGGTACAAGAATCAACAAACTCATTAAAAACATTATTGACCTCCATAAAAATTCTCTTCCTTGCTTCTGTGGAGCGGACACAAGACGCCACCAAAAACTGGCTACCCCTGCTTGCTAGTTTGTGCTTCCAGTCAATATATGTTTTCTTTTTCTTCTTCAAACTTCTGGAATAGGGAAGAAACTTGTGAAGAATATGATGGAATATTCCACCAGTGCAGTGACCAGTAAGAGCATGTTGAGGAGGGCCCCTGAAACTACTAACTTCAGCATCTCGATGAAGCAGAACATGAATAGATGAAGAATACATCAAGAGAACCTCTGTCAAAAGCTTCAGAATGAACACAATCTTTGCCAATGATGAAGAAACTTCCTGGTTATTGGGGTTGACCTCATGTTCCTCAGATAAAGAAACAACAGCCTTCCCTTTCCCCTTGTTCCCAGTCATATCAATGTCCATGTCCGTTAATGAGGTATCCTTCATCGACGAGTGATCTTTCAAAGGAGGCACAAATGTTATAACTGAATCCAATAGAAGCTCAATCACATTTACAAAAC